CCTATGTCGCAACTTGGCTGTGGTTTTGTATCAAAAAAATTGTGCCCTCTTACCCAGATGCTCCATGGTGCTGGCATATTTACCTACAAAACGGGTTGATTTTTAAGGGGTAAATGTAGGAATTCATATCCCAGCACCATGCTTCGCATATGGGTTATAGTGATCTCATGTGATCTCACCTAAAATAGTGCAACTATCTTTTGTGTTTCGGAAACACCCCTTAAAATGATCGAACATGGGATCCTCGGCCTCGAGGATTGCTGGGATTCGGCCGTTTGATCGTCTGGGATCCTGGACTACCCAGCTTATCATACAAGGTGGTGCCCCATAGTTAGCTAAGTTGGTTGATAACTCCAATAACTATGGTTTATGGTAGATATAACTATAGTTAATGGGGTTTATAAACAAACTAATAACTAGGGGGCACCACCTTGTAGATGATTTTTTCGATATACTGCTGATCAATTTCTACATAATTTATGGAATTATCCAATCGTTTTAAGCCTAACACCCTATTTCTTTATAAACCCTAGCATGATACCTCAATGAAGCTTGCATGGGTAGTATAATACTGTAATCCTCTACCAAACAATGGGGATTTATACTACGCAGAAAAATCGGGGAACACGTGATGGGTATGTAATATACCCTGCACTAATTTAAAGTAGCTATGGAAAATTACCGTTGGCCCTTTTCCATAGCTATGTTAGATTGTTTGAGTGTATGATCCCCATTTTGGTTGGTTGAATTCCACTAAATGCAATGAAAAATATCGAAAATCCCTATATTTAATGGTTAAATCCCCCATTGTCTACAGTATTAGATCATATAGAAGATTGCCAGATCCCGTTGTATAGCTAATGATATAGTTGTTGGTAAAATTCCATGAAATAAAATCCCGATATTTAATGGTTAAATCCCTTCCCCAGATCTCATATTTTTGAAGGATATTGATATTCCCATTAGATGAAATCCTGATGTTGAATAGTGTTAATAGTTAAATCTCCTCATATATCATATGTTTTTTTCGGATGTTTTCCAAGGTTTCAGATGGTTTTCGAAGCAGTGGATGGTGGTCAAGACCGCGCCTGCCGTGGAGACAGCAGCACTGACAACTCCGACACGCAGCCCGGCAGTTGTTGTTTTTGGGAATCGCAACAGTAGGATTATTACCAAATGATTTGTTTATACTAGATAGTCATCCTGAAGTAGATTCCATGTTGAATGTCGAACCCCAAAAACATTCCCATTTATGTGAGGTCTGTCTGAAAGTTCAATTGTTTATCTACTCCGACTATACATATAAAATGAGGGTTCAACATAATTTAACGATCAACAATAGGGGGTTATATTTTAGAATTGGGATGATGATGGATAATGCGGATTTAACGATCAACAATACTTAGTGTTGCCATAATTGGCTAAAGCAGCTTTTTTCAGCTACGGTTAGTGAGTGGATTATAGCCCCTGCCTGCGATGTATCGTTGTGTAGGCCCCAGTTTCAAAGCACTCAACTATACAAATCTGGTAAGATTTAATGGTGATTTAATGGGTTTTAATGGGTTTTAATGGGATATTTTGGATATATAATAGATCTACGCTCTGGTAAACAAACGGTTTGCTATTGAAAATGGCCATAGAAATAGTTGATTTACCAATGAAAAATGGTGGATCTTTCCATAGTTTTCTGAAAACGTTTACCAGAGGGTAAGATCTAGGTGGAATCTGGGTTCACGAGCCCCAGCCTGACACCGGTCGATGTTTTTTTAGGTGTCATCAAAGTGGGCAATTTAAAATCCAAATTTCTAATTAGCCTTGAAACATATACGGATGACGACCTAATTATATAGGACCATTATATAGGATGATTATATATGATTGTATTCCCCTATCTAATTATATATGGGATGAATTTACCATTGAAACCTTCATTTATAGGGAATTTTCCCCATTACTATGGTTGATTATTGGCTGGCAATCGTTTCAGAATGATAACTTAGTAGATACATTTTCAGGGGTGTTCTTTGCCGCCAATCAGTCCCTAACTTCAGGAACCACCGGTTTAAATTTGCAACATACCCTCTGGGTTTTTTAACATGGCTATGGAAAATCGCCAGTTTCAATGTGTTTTCTTAACATAAAGCATCTATAATTCAATGGCTCATTTTCCAGGACACTCTTAGAATAGTCTTAAAATACCAGATTCAGAAGCTAATCTAGGTGAATTCTAAGCTCACGTCCATCACTGGAATGCTGGGATGAAGGAAGAACAATGATTCAATGATCCCGAAATGGCCGAATTAGCTTTGTGAATTGTGACTTGTTTTTTCAGATGGATTCTTGTTGGTTATCCATCTGAAATTTGTAACATGGGGGAAAATGGTAGCAATTACTTATTGTGAAATCCATTTCAAGTATATCTGTTGGAAATTATAAAACCCCAGTTGGGTGATGTTCAATTAGGACATTTACCAACCCGTAGTTATGAGGTGAATAATGTACCCAGATTATTCCTGTCCAGATTTTTTTGCCATATCCCGAATTAAAAAAGACATCAAACAATCCCATGATATTCCCTTTTCAGCGGAGTCATTGCATTCCAAGTTGGTGAATGAAACACCAATGGTTTGATGGTTACCAACATGTTCCACCATTACTTAATGCTGCTTAAATCCCAATCGTGGGCATCATCAAGTTGATGGTGAAAAATCCCATGTGTTCATCATGTTTGATGGTTAGGTCACTTAGGTCCTAAATGTTCGTCACTTTTAACAGTTAAGTGGCTTCTCCAAAAGACTGCCCGTTCAGCCGCAGCTTCAAGGTACTACACCGTGGTCTCAGTGACGTCCTTAGAAGAATGCACCATGGCAAGAAGAAGCGAGCTTCAGGGAGGTAGAGAAGATCCAAAGTGCATGCATATACATACTTATATATATATATATCAAATTTAGTTACTGGTGGTTTCAATCCCACAAACGTAACCAAGGGGGCACCACCTTGCATGTGTATATATATATATACATGATATCTGGGTAAATTATAGTGACCTCACTGTGACGTCACTGGAATGATGGTTAGTGAGGACATTTATCCCATTCGAGCATGATATAGCATTCTTTCAGGTTAGGAATTTCTGTAATTTAATATAATTTCCCATAATGTATATATATATATATTATATATATATATATATGTAAGTAATGGTGGTTTTATTCCAACAAAAATAACCAAGGCGCACCACCCTGTATCCCAGTTGGTAAGCGGGCAATAATCATGGCATAGCGGCAGATGTGTGCATACATGTATTTGTATATATACATATTTAGTGTATATGTATATATATACATATATATAATTTAATGTTATATTATGTATATTCATCTATTGCATATATACATGATTGTCTTTGTTTTACCGGTAAAATGTTTGATACGTGCAGACATATACATACATAATCATACATGTTGCTTGGTAGTTTCAATGATGCTTTGTTGCCATCCCAACAAATGGAGTAGCCCTCCCAACTGACTATCTTTTAAGGGCAACCACCCCAACAGCCTACCTTTGGATCCTTTCGGGGGTAGATGCTTGTGTTTGAAATGTTTCATCTTTTCTTGCCAACCAATCGGTAAGAAAATAGATGAAATTTCACGGCTTTGCAATCGGACATCAGCGTTTTGAAATCGCAATGGGTTATCAGATGTTATCAGCATATTTAAGAATGGTATATCAATTCAGCAAAAACATCAGGAGTCTCCATGATAAATAAAAGAATTGGATACCTTCTGGCAACATAGACCCTGAAAATAACCATAAATAACCCATGTTTAGTGGAAACTCATCTTCCAACCCCTATCTACCAGGGTCTATGTTAATTTCCTGGATACGTGCGGAAGTTGTTCCCTTCCCAAATTACGGTACCACAAGATCTGTCGCATCCCTTCCGTTAGGCCAGGAGCAGTGCAAACTCACGGAGAACTGCCAAGGCGACCCTGAGAAATTCTAAAAACAACCGTGGAATTGGATGTAACTATTGCATATGGTTCTTCCATATTATTGCTCTTTGAATCTATCAGATATGTATAGGACTTTTATATATATATATAGTATGTACAGACAATATATGTATATAGTAAAATATATTAGATATATGAATATGTATATATGCATTTATATATATACATATGCATTGTTTATGCCACAAAATGTTTTCGATCATATTGGATCTGATCATGTTGTTGGGGCTATCTGAGGGTGAATTTGATATCAGGGGGCTGGGAGCAATACATAATCCCCTCGGGGCACTGTGAATGAGGATGAGTATGGGGAAGCTACTCAAAAATGACATGATTTCCTTCTAAAAAAAGTCCATTGAGATCGGGTGCCCCCAGTGGAATCAGACATGGTTTTGTGATCTGTGAAATTGAGGAGAGATAACTTTTTATTCATTCGTAAGTTTCACTAGTAGGCAACTTTCCAGCTGGTTCTTTAGCAATGTGAAACTTCAACAGAGTACACCAGTTTATATAATCTTTCTGCCCGTCAGAAGTAGGACAGAAAATTGGCTCGGAGGCATATCAAGGAGCGTCAGCAGCATAGCAACGCGTCGCAACCCACTGCTTGAGCTGGCTTTGAGAAGGTGAAACTGTTTTAAATTTTAAGGTAGCTTATTCAAGGTACCAACGCATTCAAGGTACCGTAGCCTGGTACAGTATGGTATAGCTATATTCACCATATGGTGCCACGCACACATGATAGCATGGAGATCTCTAAGCTCCATAGGGATCGCCTTTGCCTACTTATGTGTGTTTTTGCTAAGCCATGGCAACTTCCCCCTGTGGACGACTTGCGGCGTTACTTCGAAACTCTACCGAGAGGGTGGGGAGTCCTGGAAGCATCTTCGAACTGGCATCGTTGTATGGAAAGATGCCATTGATTTGTCGGCGGGGCCAGGTGCCAAGGCATTCTTTCACTACACAGGGGAGTTGGCTTTCAGGAACATCGTGGCCCTTGAGAAAGAAGCTGCAGAGGTATGGGCCTCATTAAAAAACGGAAGGAGAAAGTGCAAACGCCTTGTGGGGGCGTGGTGTTTACAGCCCTTCCAAAATCTCCCAACCAATGGACAGACCAAACAGAACTTTTGGACAACAATTTTAGAAACATGATGAAGAGAGATGCGGCGCTTTATGGTGAAGAGCATGTGAAGAGAGTGTATCCACGTGCATCGTTCTGCATTCCTTTGCTGGTCGACCCGGAGAATGCCTACGACATTGCAGCCAACGCCTGAGATCGAATCAGCGGGAAAGCCACCAGCCAGAGCGCTGTGCGGTTCTCCGAGCACGCGAAGCGTCTGCTCAGAGTCCTGGCCTCCAGATTGCTGCGAAAGCACGTTTGGGACCAGTTTGGGAGTTGCTCTGTGGAAGCAAGGCTTCCTGGAGAGCAAGATTTTACTGAGCGATGTTCTGGATGCCCGTGAGCGCACCCTTGGTGCCGAGCATCCTGACACATCGGCCTCAGTCAACAATCTGGCAGCTTGCCTGGACATGGGCCTGCTGAAAGATACTAATACCACGAAGGGAAGCCTTTGTAGCTGCCTCGGCATGTCCAGGAGGTCGTCCCTGTCAATAGACACGGAATAGTCAGCAATGCCTCGGCTTGGCTTCGTTTTCAGAAGCCTCCAAATCTCTCCTGTAGAGTGGTTCTGCATCTTTAAGCAGGCCTGTTGAAAGATGCAGAACCGCTTTACAGGAGAGCTTTGGAGGCCCGTGAGCGCAGCCTCGGTTCCGAACATCCTGACACATTGGTCTCAGTCAACGATCTGGCAGCTTGCCTGGACATGGGCCTGCTGAAAGATACTAATACCACGAAGGGAAGCCTTTGTAGCTGCCTCGGCATGTCCAGGAGGTCGTCCCTGTCAATAGACACGGAATAGTCAGCAATGCCTCGGCTTGGCTTCGTTTTCAGAAGCCTCCAAATCTCTCCTGTAGAGTGGTTCTGCATCTTTAAGCAGGCCTGTTGAAAGATGCAGAACCGCTTTACAGGAGAGCTTTGGAGGCCCGTGAGCGCACCCTCGGTTCCGAACATCCTGACACATTGGTCTCAGTCAACGATCTGGCAGCTTGCCTGGACATGGGCCTGCTGAAAGATACTAATACCACGAAGGGAAGCCTTTGTAGCTGCCTCGGCATGTCCAGGAGGTCGTCCCTGTCAATAGACACGGAATAGTCAGCAATGCCTCGGCTTGGCTTCGTTTCGGTAAGGTTTCACCACAAGAGAAGGCCACTCTGCCATAGACTTTCACCTCGCCATTGTCCCGACGTGATTGTTTTGATCTAAATTCCGTCAGCATCATGTCCTATAGTGAGAGTCATAACGACCACAAGTGTCTCTTTTTTTCAGTGCTTCACGCGTGCTGTAGACGCAGTCACAACCGGTGATGATCCACATAATGCGTCAAGCTGGCATTTCTGGAGCTATAACCATAGTTGTTGTGGTATGTGGGGGGTTATATCAGTTGTATCCCAACTTATGGGGCTGAAACCACTATAATATGTAGACATAATATCTTATATAGTTATATGAAGTTATATGTATATATATATATATAATTTCTCAAGTTATGAAGCTTTATCATGTTATATCAGTGAAATCACCATGGGTATACCATGGTTTTCCACCTTTTTTTCCACTGAACATATCGCCCATTGCTTCCGGCCAGGCGTGGAATTCAAAGGGTCTCGTTGCGAGTTGTGGAAGCGACCGATCTTGGCCTCCAAACGCTTAGGCCGCAACGCGGGTCGGTCCAGGGTGGAGGGTTGTAGCCCCGGCAGCGAAACCAAGGTTTCACGATGGGGAGAGTGGCAATAATGATGGTTAACTAATCATAAGTATAATAAGTATATAATAATATGTATTAATTATCAATAATTGATGACAATAACACTAGTGTACTAATAATAACCCTGGTAATAATAATATCAATAAAACTGATTAACTAATAATAATAATAATCATGTTTAATTGTTGATTAATTCGTGACATTAGTGTTTGACAATAATACGTAGTTTTTACCAATAATAATAGTGATAACAACAAGTGGCAGTAGCAGTAGCAGCAGCAGTAGCAGCAGCAGTAGCAGCAGCAGCAGCAGTAGTAGTAGTAGCAGCAGTAGTAGTAGTTGTTGTAGTTGTAGTTGTAGTTTTACTATAGTGCAATAGTGTTTAGCTGCTAAGGGAATTACTAGGAAGCGCTATTATAGTTGTAGTTGTAGTTTTTACTAGGAAGCGCTCGAGGGAATTGTTTCCTAGATTTGGCAGGCTATTACTACTTCCTTTTGCTGGTGAGCGGCATTACTTGGCCTCCGGGGTTTCCTTCCTTCTACCGACCCAGTCTAAGGGAGACCTTTCTGCCACTAACATAGCGTACCGGAGCCTTGCCTGCCTTTGTGTCGGTTTCAAAGACTTATCAATGTTTGGTGGACCCAAGAAGAAACTATACCCAGCACATCCCAAAAAAAGAATGCGAGGAATTACCACTGTATTTTCAACCCTCCTCGCATTCTTTGCAGGTGGCGTCCCCCACCAGTGATGTTTGTCGGTTTATAAACCCGTCTAACATATTCTAACATCGTCTACTGTAACTATATTTTATGTATAGAGACCCTCCGTATACCCTAGATCAAGTGACATTCCCACTAATGCCCATAAACATTGATCTATCATGATACTGTAAATGTTGTGGTATGCCATTAATATATCATGATGTATCACCCATCATCCCCATATATCATGATATATCCCCACAACGAACCCTAAAGAAACTTAAAGAAACCATGAAAAAACCGTATGACAGTGCATATAGTGAAGTACCGGGCGTAGCGCACCTGGGCAGGTGGATACACGTGCCTTCGATACGTCGATCCCAAGAAACTGCGCGCGGGCGAATTTGAGATGGTTGACGGTGAGGGTCATGCCTGTCGTGGCGCCACTCCGGTACCTTGATGGTTGGAGCATGCGGATATTGTATGATCTTGTAATATTATATATGTGATGTGATGTGATGTTATGTGATGTGATGTGATGTGATGTGACGAGATATGTATATATATATATATATGTGTGAGATATAATATTACATGTATATACATATATGTATATATGTAATATTATATTTACATTATACATATTGTATACATATTATATACATATTATGTACATGTGATATATACATACATGATTATATGGAGGTGTTTCAAAATTGTGCTACCCCAATAACTGGATGGTTTATAATGGAAAGTCCGAAGAAGAAATGGATGATTGGTGGAGTATTGCCTTTTAAGCACGAAGAGACAAGTAACAAGCGAGTCAAAACTGATAACCTGATCAATTGAGGGATGTATCGAATCTCTATGAATGATCGCTTCTAGTTATCTAGTGCATCCCCCGAAAACACAACCGATCTCCCTCAGGCTGATAATTCCAACAACTACTTCCATGTGACCACAGGCGCGCCTATTCAAAGGGGTCCAGCCTTGCCAGTGGCCCAAAGTTCCCACCGTAATATTCCGCATGAGTTTGGCTGAGCAATGGCTGAGCAATCTTTAGGGTAATTTGTTGGGTAATCGACTCTCAGTGTGCTTTGAGAAATCAATCACCATCCATCTAGATCAAATTAGTGACCAGTTACTTCCGTTTTCATGTGGATTTGGGTCAACATGGGGACCTCCTGACACTAAACGATGCAATGTTAATCCATCTGTTTGATTTTCTCTTACTTTAGAATCCGCTTTGGTTGCTTGAAAGTGGTCATTTTTTTTAGCAGTCCAACAAGCCACCAAGTAATCCCCAAAACCTCCATTCTGCTACACACCCTGAATTCAACACGGAACCCCCAAACATAGTCTTTCGAAGATCATTTTAATTGGAAATGCCTAGACACTCCAAGTACCCAGTAAAATGCTGTACGTCATTTTAGTACTTTTACAATCTTTTACCATTATTTGGGTGGTATTCCACGTGTCTATTTTTTCCAGTTCCACATCATTCTACATCCCCAGAAAAAAAGAAAAAAACAATTCTCCCATTGATATTACATGCCACGGTTAAAGAAGATATTCAACAATTACCCTCTGGTAATTTAACATAGCTATGGAAAGATCCACCATTTTTCATGGGAAAATCCACTATTTCTATGGCAATTTTCAATAGTTTTTTGTATGTTTACCAGAGGGTATATCTATTAAATCACCATTAAAACCCATTAAATCACCATTAAATCATAGATATTCAACAATTAGAAGATGCAAAACCGTGATTCTCCCAGCTTCCCCACGCAGGCCAGTCACTGGAAGGATGCCAGCGCCTGTGTCGCACAAAGGCGAACTGCGTGGGCGTGGAGCATCACGAAGGCGTTGGGGAAGTGCTGGGGAAGGGATGATTTTTGTGGCTGAAAATAGGGATTTTCGCCATGAAAAATAGAGATTCAACCAGCAAAAATAGAGATTCAATTTTCAAAAAGAGGATTTATAACCAGCAAAAACAGGGATTTGATCATCAAATATGGTGAACAATTTTGATCTCTCAATAGTACTCTTTGCTAAGCATGGCAATGGAAATCGCTCATAAATGGAGTTTCAGATCGTTTGGAAAATCATAAAACAAAATGGAATCTAAATGGTAGATTTTCCAGCAAACCATGGAGCTGATGACGCGGGTATCTCTACAGAGCAATGAGTTTGGCCTTGGAATCTATGAAGCATATGCCAAAATAGAATGATGAATAGACTCTTGGAGCGGTTCGGAGCGGTATTCAGAAATTCCTTGTGTTCCATGGGGAGCCACTCAGTTGGAGCTCCGAGTTGAGTTTCCCCACAACGTGGTAGATTTTAGATGGAATCCCTCCTGATGTTGATACCCCCGCCACTTGGTGAAGTAGTGTATCTATTCATTTGGGGACCCAGTCATGTTGTTTTTGGCGGATGGGGGGTAACTCTATTGATGAATTTGGGGTGATGTGATAATCATATTATCGCGTGATTTCTAGACATCTTCTGAGAACAGTTGGAAACCTTGTAGTAATCCACGGTTTGTCTCAGATTTATTCAGATGTCCATTTCAATAATGAAAATGACGGTAAACCACAGTCGTGGCCCTTTACCAGTTATAAATGGGATGAAATAACTCATGGAACTAAGGTTGTATATCATATAATCCCAATAATAATATATATAAATATCCCATAGGACCATAGATGTTTCATAAGTATCCAAAAGAAAAATCCCACAAAAATCCCATACAGATCAAACATATCCCATACATATCCTGTAAACATCTCAAAAAAAAACATGCATATCATATCCCATAAATATCTCACAAATATCTCATACATATATCCCTTGAACACAAGCGGAAGCAAAAGCACTTAAAGGGCGCGAGCTGGCCCCACACTCCCTTCGACTCGGAGGCACAACAGCATGGCACAGGCAACTTTTGCCATGCTTTCTTGCAGGCCATGGATCTTCTTACTGTGTCTTTGTCTCCTCGCCTGACGGGCCAACCTCCGCCCTCTCCAAACATTGCTGACATAGCTCAGCTGAGAAAAGAAAGGCTTTGCCAGGCTGCGACACGTAGCCGCCAAGACCCTGTCATGAGATCATGGCGGTCAGGTGGTGAGCGTGAGGAACTGCCTGACACAGGTAAGGCACAATGAGGTGCAATCTTTAAAGGGCCTTTTTGCTACGTCGGCAAGGCAGATGCGGCCACTGTTGTGGTGTTTTTCTGTCCCCAAGTGAGGCACCAGGGGGCAGGCTGGACATCACGGATTTCATATCCCTTCAATATTCCACAAAAATCCTATATCCCAGAAATATCCCAGAAATATCCCAGAAATACCCCGATACAGTAGCTCATCATTTTCTTTACCATAATTCCACTTTTTGGGGGAATGATCCAAGTATCATCACAGGTGGCCGCTGTGAGATCTGGATTCGACCGTTGGGGATCCAAGCAACACAAGCGCTGCCAGGACCGGAGAAGGGGGACTTGGGGTAGATGACAAGTTGAAGCATTTGGTAAACACTGGATGAATGGGGATTTAATATGATTTAATCATTTTAAGCATCAAAAATAGTCAAGAATGGAAGTTTTACTATCATAGTTTGGGGTTCAACCATCATCCAGAGGTATGAAAAATAGGGTGTGAACCATCCAAAACTTTTCAGAATCAAACATAGGAGTTTTTAAGTCGGGTTCATACGTCCAAAATGGTGGTAAACCAACTATTAGATTAGACTATTAGTGGAAAATTTATACTAACATCAATCCCACCTTGAGTTACAAAACCAATGAAGCGTGCCGTGATGCGCTTTGGGGACTCAGCAGCGCGCGAAGAATTGGGATATTGATGGATATTGTGCCAAAAGACCATGGGTGGGGGAACTGGCTGGGGCCATAATAACATTTTACATAAATTTGAAATCCACTTACCCTCTGGTAAACTAACATAACTATGGAAAATCGCCATTTTTAATAGGAAAACTCACTATAAATGGCCATTTTCAATAGCTTTTTGTATGTTTACCAGAGGGTAGCGGTTTCCTGAAATAGAGGTCCCCCTGTTCATCTTCCACTTATAGATGGGTTTTCCATGAAATAAACCATCCATTGGGACAAGCCCATTGTAGGACACCCCCATTTTTGAATCCCCAGTTACAGTATGAGTTGGTTTATAAGCGCCAGTAACTATAGTCATAAGATGTTATAAGTACCATAAACCATAGCTGGTTGGTGGTTTCAAACATTTTTTATTTTCCACAATACATGGGATAATCCTTCCCATTGACTAATATTTTTCAGAGGACTCAGGGTCGTTCGCTGCCCTGGGCCTCTTCAATAACCCGCAATAACCCGTAATATTTTTCAGAGGGGTTGAAACCACCAACCAGATAGTTATTGGAGTTATTTCAAAGTCTGAATGGCTGTGCCACTGATGTGTCCTTCCGAGTCTGGCTACCCCCAATCCCCCAATTGGCGGAAGCGACAGACAAGCGACGACACGGAGTCTGAAAAATGGATGCCATAAAGCCCAACAACAAACTTCAGTATTCCCAATAGAGGTTCTGGTTTTGATGTCTGTTTTTAATGGATTTTGAATGGAATTTGATGGACTTTTAACTGTTAGTGGATTTAATAAACTTTAATATATTATCTGCTTGGTGGTTTGGAATATGAATTTTATCCATTCAGTTGGGAATTTCATCATCCCAACTGACGAGCTCATATTTTTCAGAGGAGTAGGGTTACCACCAACCAGCGGTGTAAAACGACAGCGAAAGATGGTTAATGGGATGGATGGTTCCTATTCATGGCCATGATTTTTGGTGTATACCTTCTGGTAAACTAACGTAACTAAGTATGATACTATGGAAAATACCGCTTCTTTTTTCATGGGTAAATCAACTATTTCTATGACCATTTTCAATAGCTATGCTATGACATAACCAGAGGGTACCCCATGAAATCAGATACACACACAAAAACAGAATGATCATCCATGATGAACCATAGTTCACCCCCAGAAAGTACCGAAAAAAAGGCTGCGGAGCCCATGATTGTATGATACATGATAAGATATATGGATATATATGGTATGATATGATCTGATACGATACTGCATGTGCCCATTTTCAAGAGGGGCGTTGGACGTGTATGAACAAGGAGCTATCAACACTACTGGGTGTGTTTCAATTTCTGCGGTTGCTTGAAGGGGGAATGGATTATTATTCGCAATGGCTGGATTCCTGGTCGATTTTTTTTGGCTAGCCATTGGATCTGACGGTAGAATTGGCAATGCCAGTGCTGCTAGTGTTCCTCAGAGTCATCAACAAAAACTTGTTTCTTGACACCCCAAAATATATAACAATATAAACTTGTTTTCTTGAGACCCCAAATATATATATATACATATATATATACATATATACATATATATATATATATAACAATACAAACTCGCAGCTTCTGAACAGTGAGGTTTTCAATCTGTGGTCATGGCTCTCCCCTTCGAAGTACAGGATATACCTGCTGGCGCTTCTGGCCGGATGGAATCACACCTCCAAAGCCACGTGAAGGCACGGGTTTTTTTCAAAGCAGTTGCTGGCCTGGGTTTACGGTAAAGTATCATAGCTATTAGCTATGGAAAACTACCCTACTATATATGTATATATATATATATTTATTTATAGTAATTTATATCCATTTATATCCAGTTCTATCTATTCATATCTGTTTAGACTACCCATGAACAATATGAATAATGGTAATTTTCCGTAGCCATGTCAGTTTGACAGATGGTATTTGACCCATTGAAGTGTTGTATGGAACCCCAGTTGAAGGTGTTGCAAGTTAATTTTGCAAGCGATGCGGCAGCGATGCGGTCGCTGAAACTACAACTTGTTTGGGTCGTGAAAGACGGGCAGTTTCCTTTACCTGACCATGCCAATTTGTCATACATTCATATACATTCTCCTTGCAGTATATTGGCAGTTTATAAATCATCATAAGATAATCATGTAATGATCTGTAACCCCAGTCATGGTTGGTGAAGCCATAAGCCATAATTTTATATGTATTGTTTTATATATTGGCAGTTTATATATATATAAATATATAACCCCAATCATCATATATGTTGTTATATTATCCACCATTTTTGATGCCAACATCGACCTCCAAGTCGTCATTGGATCCTCCGATTCCGCCGTGTCGTTCCGCCGAGGCGCTTTCGAGGCAGTGGATGGGGCAGTTGGCCGCGTGTGTCGTGGATCCAGTAGCTTGGACGGAAAAAGGTCGGGAAAATCCAGAAATCCATGGGGAAGATCACCGGAACATGATTACTATAGTCACATAATTAGTCACATAATTATGGAAATAAGAGGGCTACTTTTTGCGATTTATAGTTGCTAGTTGGTTTTTTATGGCTTCAAATGGAATGTTTATTGGGACATGATTGGGAATTTCCCTGTCACGATAGATCTATAGCTTCTCAGAAATTGGATGGACCATGATGAATCATGGGGATCACGGGATTGGTATAACTGTTTGGTGCTTTGGAAGATGACTTTTGGTATTTTCCACAGGATTTTTCCATTTATAGCCATTGAAGCATTACTGGTATAACTGGTATAACTGAAAATAACTGGTTGGGTATAACTGGTATAACTGGTTGGTATTTTCCATTTCATATGCCCATGACGGATCCATGGTGCTGCTATATATGGTAACATGGATCCCATCAATATACCCCAGTCATGTTAGCATATATATATACCATACATGGATCCTATGGGATATGGAATGTCATCCCAGCTGACGAACTCCATCATTTTACAGAGGGGTAGGGCTCAACCACCAACCAGATTGGTTAACGGATCGAATCTAGGTGAGGTTCTTCACCGACATCAATGAAGGGAGTTTTTGAGAGGAAAATCACCATTTTTACTGGGTAAATCACCATTTTTACTGGGTAAATCAACTATAAATAGCCATTTTCAATAGCTAAGTTAGTTTACCAGAGGGTATGGTTACAGTAATATGTGGCTGCGGAACATTAGATTGTATTTGTATCCAACAAACATGATATTTAACCATATTCAATCAACAACTTTCGGACTTTGGGATCATGGGGTTGAACTAATCATGAACATAGGAGTAAGGGTATTATCACATTAGAGAATATGTGTTCGATGATTGGTGTATGTATGATGCATGGGTAATTACCGTAATCCTTAGTGAAGGGTAGTTCAATCTTTCAGTGTGTTGCCATTCAAGAGTACATATAATTCCTAGCTAGATCTTTCCCAATTGGCGACACCATTCTACCATGGTCTTGTAGTTGCTGACAGTCGCATACACACAAATAGAATCAATTGACATGTATAATGTATGCTGTGGTTTGTTTATATCACATCAAAAAAATGTCATTCTTACTGCTTCAAACCGTTGACCAAGATTGATTCAATGACCATGACCCCGGTCTCTTTTTACTGGGGGGGTAATCATAGATAATCATATAATGCCTACTATATTTTTAAGGGGATATGTCCCATAAATATGGCTTGAGCTGGTACAGTGGTACCTGGTACCTCCATTTGAGAGTCCTGAAATATCCACTGAATCCTGATTCGTTCTATTCCCCAACTCTTGGAAGATGTTTGAGTCCTGTGTCCTGTGACATGCCCAAAGGAACCCCTTCTCGCTCGAGGTCCATCGGACAACCTCCCGAGTTACTTCAACGTGACTTCAGCGTCATCTTTAGACCCTCGGACCTAACCTGCGGTGCGAAAGAACGCCGAAGGATGGGTTGAAGCAGGAAAGTCACGGCGTTCAATCAGTAGAAAATGTATATGTCAAATGTATGAAAATGTATATGTCAGGAACTGTCAGTATGTCTTAAGGTATTTTAAGCATCCCAACATGATCTGCTGCCTGACCGAATCCCCAAAAAATGAAAACCAATTGGGATCTGGTTCATCGATGTTCATTGTCCCAGGGATGATTAAACCAATGAGAGAAGTACAAAAGATCACGGATGAACACATTCAAAAAGGCCAAAAGGTGTTGCGTGGTGCCCCGCAGCTATGCGAATGTTTGTTTACTATAAACCCTTGTCAAAGTCGTAAATCAACTTGGAACATTGACACCACCTTGAATGGAGAGTCAATGATTGCATCAGACTTTTTGGGCGCGCAAAATGGATGGTTTAGTAGTAAGACTGCCAAATGTTTGGGTCCATTTCTATCCCATTTTTTGACCCATTCATATGTCCCCCACGTTGGAGGGTTCTATGACTTGAACTGCTGCTAAAATTGTCGTCGAACCCCCTAGTTGTGCGGGGTACCAAAAACAATCCAACAAAGCATGCCTAAGTACAGCATTAATTACTGTAAACCTGACAAAAATGGAGGTCGTGGTCAGGTTCAAATACCACATGTTTTTGCATCCTAAATGGGATATTGACCAGCAACAATTGCACAGCCATGAACAGCCATGAATTATGTGGAGTTCCCTTCGATTCCAACCGCTGCGCTCCTTACCGTACATGGTAATGTGGAGCCCACCCAATTCAGCCAATGTAAACAACGTGGACAATGAAGTGAAGATTGGTAAATATGTAATTGGTGCTTGGCGGAATTTTGGAAGCCCCCCCAAAAAAAACAAAAAACGCATTGAAGGGTGGAATCCATGAATTCAGTGATTGTTCATAAATATAGCCTATAGAACTTTCCTTGCCAGAATCTGCGCCCAATCAGGACTTCTGCGAGAATTTGTGTCGCCTGGCCAGCGACTGCACAGGACAGCCTGTTCGAACAGGGTACCTTGGGCAGACTCCACTTTCCAAGGCGAAGTATAGAGGATACCAAGTTTGTGAACTCAGAATATTAGAGATCATGAGTTTGTGATGGATAGAGATCATAATATGAAACCAAAACCATCCCAAATTGCCATGAAAAATTGGCATAAATTGCCTTCAGCTTGTGTCTTCCCAAATGTAGAGCTGAGTGCTTTTGCTACTTGAAACTGTAGTAGCAGTCATGGTATGATCATGGTTTCAACATGGTTTCAACATGTTAAAACGCAGAGATCCCAAGTTTGAAGCAGCTTAAAACGCTTAAATCTCATTAAATCCCCATTTTATGGTCATCTTCCATGGTATTTAACCATGCTATGTCCCCATGTTGTGGGCCCTGGGAGGAATCGAATTTCACAACTCGGGGCGCTGCGAGCTGTGGCACCGAAGCATTGAGAGCTTTCGAGTGAGCAACGCAGGCGGAAGGGCCGGGGTCGGTCCAAAATGTGGGTTTGTCTGAAAATAGGGTATATTCCCAATGAAATAGCCATTTAATAGGGATAATGATCATTAACCATTGGGTTTAGGGGTACACTATTTTCAGACACACCCATGTCGTGGCACTAAAAATCACATGGACATTGAAAAACCCATGGTGGAAATTTCTGAGTACTTGCCATGATTTAGTCATATTTTAGTAATATTTACTATGATTTACTATGATGTTTCATGATTGCCTCCATTTTGTGGCCAGGATATAGCCGGACAAAATGATGGTTCACATTTTACCACTTGATTTGGGATGTGTTTTGCTCCAACGTTGTGAGAGAAACCTGATGGAGTGGCGAAAAAAGTATGAGGTTTGAGCATGACAAATGGTGGTTTACCTGGCAAACCTTGAGACCTTGACGTGGGAATTTTGATGAGAAATGAGGAAAAATGAGGATTTGGTCATGTTTTAATATGTTCTCCTTCAATGTTCAGTAACGCACTTGGCCGGCTTTTTTGTCCCATACATTGGGGTCGTTGGAACAAAGCAGTTAGTGAGATGATCCTGCGGAGTAAGTGACAGCCACAACAGTAGAGGAATGGGATTCTGCAGTGCAACAATGCGGATTTTTCACTGAATTTTGCTGAAGCAACCAAAAGCAACCAAAACTTACTGGTGCTAAACGCAGGGAATGAGGGAATGATCCATAATCACTAGCAATAATCATCCCAGCAACCCCCATTCCCATCCATTCCCTACTAAGCACCAGTAAGGAAAATGGATTGCAACCCAGTCAAACTGCAATTTCATGACAATATGTGACTTGACTACAATCTACATGTGTTGGATTGTGTTGGGTCACAATTTTAGACCGTGGAGTCAGCACAAAGAAACATATGTTTGGATATTGTTGGGCAGTAACCACCAATGCTCTGGGGTATAATTTTCGATCCATACCACTATCCACACATAGTGGTGACGTACATGTTTTGCTTGTTTGAATATATTTAGCCAGTATATAGTATATATAGCTCTCTAATTTCACAGACATATTCTCCCAGTGTCCATGTTAGATGAATCCCCTTGAGGCCCCTTAAGTGGGTTGCCGAACCACGCATCTCTTCGTGTGGTGGCTTCGTATCGGTGTTTCTTCAGTTTTCTTTCACCATCCCTGGGAAAATTACGCATCCCAATTGGCTTTCATAGTTTTAATATAATATGTTTTAATGGGTCAACCAGCAAACAGATCATGTTTGGATCCATGTTTAGGATATAGCAACCCCAAAGAAGATAGAGAAGTTCTTGGAGAAGTGTTTCCATGATTGTATAGATGATATATGTCCAGTAAATGTTGCATCTCTTCTATATGTTTCGGGGGTTGCTATAATTTTTGGAAAATCTCAAACGGTCATCGTTTTTGAGGTTTGGAACATGTTTTATTTTTCCATATATTGGGAATAATACTCCCATTTGACTTTCATATGTTTCAGAGGGGTGGCTCAACCACCAACCAGAATGCGTAAAATGAATGGACCCAGCCTGCAATCTCCCAAGCCCATCCCAAATGATGAGCGATTGGCCATCCTTCCATTAAAAAAACGGATGTCTCTCCCTTATTTCAAGACAAACTATCACATGGTTGGCTACAGATCCCTTTGTATCCTGATAGATTCCATTACATCTAAGCCATATTCTCATATAATCTCACATATAATCTATATAATCTATGTCTCCAGATTTTGTTGGTGACATATCCCACATCTTTATGGTATTTCCCCATGGCCATCTCAGCCAACTCCATCACAGATTACAGCTGCTGGAGATTTGTCCAAAGTTTGGTTGCTTGGCGAAGCGGCGCAGCGAACTCTCCAAAGACATCAACGATGTCTATGGAGAATTTCCGCAATATGAATATGATCTGGTGTAAAGATGAAAGTCAACTATGAAATCAAACAGGGCTGCGTGGGGACTTCTTGGAGATTCTTAGATTCATTGAGCAAAGGTCTCAAGGCAGCACCCAAAAGTGAACAGAGAGTCACATTTCTTCAAACACTTTTATCCGGTAATCAAACATAGCGATGGAAAACCATGTTCAGTAGGAATGTCATCTATATGTAACTGGGCATTAATTGGGCATGAAAGCACATTTTTTCTCCTGCGAGTTTGATTTCACGGCAGGTCTCCCAAGCATGGAGTATTTGGGATTTTCCACAAAAACAGTGATTGTAACTCAAATATATGGCAATTCAAATGGTGAAGGTGATGAGAATCCATTGGAAAGAGGGAGTTTCCCCGTTTTCTGCGTTCCACGTTTTCCCAGGCAAGCTAAGCAGGAGAGAGCAACGCGGCAGCGCAGCCGCAGAAGCTGGGTTTCAATGAAGGTGGTTTGTTGGGCCGGGGCTCGGTGAGCATTCACTAGTTTGGTTCTTACCAATCAGTCTGGGCAAACGTTGAATGGGTACTGACTTTAGTGCCTTATGCCTTATTTTTTTTGCTGCAAATGGAAAGACCAACCAAAATAAGTTAAACACAGAATTTCTTGATACTCTCTCTCAACTTATGGGGGATGCGGATGAACACCAAATCTTGATGAACAACTGAACAACGCTAGGATATTTCCAGCGGAGATCACAGACCCATTGCTCAAACATGCTTTATAGTGCACCTTACGTCTACAAAAAAAACAATATCTATTGCCCATAGGATCCATGTATGCTATATATGGTAACATTTACCATCAATATACCCCCAATGTTACCATATATACCATACATGGATCCTATGGGTTGTAATGTCTTTTTTCCCTCCAATAAATAATCTGGATAACTTATGCTTAGTAAGGGGAATCATCCCCAATTGGCCGAACTGTTCGGCTATATTTCAAATTTGGTGAATTATATAGTTCAAATTCAGCCGGCCAATTGATCGGCCACAATGGGTTGCTGTCAAGTGGCTCAAGGGTCATAGTCATTTGGTTCTTTTTCTGTGCCTATGGTGATTTCATCAAGGGTCCATTCACCAAGTACTTTGCTGTTCAGGATTTGACCTCCTGAGATCGGTGGTAGCTGGGTTCCAAGGTCTTTGTAAAGAGATACAGCAAAGGCAGCAACGAATCCACTGACCCTGCTGGGGCTGAGCACCAATCTGGAGTGAAGGACCAGATTCTGAAAGTGTTTGACGACTGTGCAAGGTGGTGCCCCATAGTTAGCTAAGTTGGTTTATAACTCCCATAACTATGGTTTATGGCAGATATAACTATAGTTAATGGGGTTTATAAACCAACTTATAACTCGGGGGCACCATCCTGTGGGGACTAAGCTTCCAGAAAACTATGGTTCCTATGCGTTTGTCTGAAAATCGGGTACCCCATTACATCCACTGCTTGATCATCATTCCGTTATTTGATGGCCATAGCTCGTGGGTTAGATCCCCTCTTTTCAGGCACACCGATATTTGAAAACAAGTCATTAAGAATGGCGACAAAACAGCTTTGGGATTAATTTCAATTATCCAGAAGACTGCTTGAAACACAAAGCCTGTAGAAGAAAAGGAATCTTCAACTGATCTCTAAGGAGCTTTGGGGGTTCGGTCCATTCAGGCTTGATGGTGGCAGTTCACTCCATTGAACATGCTTTGAACCAGCAGGATTTTTGCACTGCTAGCTGTCACCAGAACAGTTTGTACAGTATAGTAACTGCGACCCTGGACGCCATTTGATATCGAACGGGCTGGCAGCCATCCGACGTCAGATGGCTGCAGCCTTTGATGGCATCTCCGAAAGCCCAAATATCATGTGGAAGGCAGAAATCCGAAAGCCAAAACGGTTGAACTGTTCATTTCCTAGAAAACAAATCAGATCCTCTCAGGATTTTGAGGCGGAGGAAAAGTCTTTCCCTGAACACTCAGCAAAGTGTAACCTATACTGTACATATACATGCAATGAAGTGTGGCCTAAGGTCTACTGTGTGTACTTATGACATCGTGAGTACATAAATCATATCATATACTCATACTCTATATATATTCTATATTCTTTATATTATTCTTTCATATGCGTTATCTATAGTTTTGTTTTTCCCCCACCTGTCAGGTGAGGGTTGCTAGATTTTTATGTCAGCTGTACTCCTCCTTCTCCTCCGCCTCCGCTGGAAGTGCTAGATCGCAGTGTTCCCCGCCGGACCTCAACCACCGAAGATATACAAGATAGAACGCCAGAAAGATTGTCAGAAGATATGCCAGATACATATGCCAGAAAGAATGTCAGGATATCTGCCAGAAGGTATTTCAGAATAGATGCCATGTAGAATGCCAGAAAGAATCTCAGAGTACAGTATATGCCAGAAAGAATGACTTCCAGATGGTACGTCAGAAACTATGTTAGAATATGTCAGAATATTTCAGAACAGGGCGGGGATCACTCGAAGAAAGTTCAATTTCCTCAACAACTTACCCTCTGGTTATTTAACATAGCCATGGAAAATGGCCCATTTATAGATGATTTTCCCATTAAAACCTCCATTTATAAGGGAATTTCCATGGCTATGTTAAATAACCAGATGGTAACATATCTTAACATCCTCAAAAGGCGTCCTGGCTTGCTGTCAGGAATGGCTTGGAGCCTGGGGGGTAAAATTCCTCCCCCGCGTGCTGCGAATTCCGCGGCTTGGTGGCCTCGAGAACCGACACACGAAACGAACGACGTCTTGGAACGCTGTGTGTTTTTTTTTGGTTGTTGTTCCAGTGAGAAATCGAAGTGTCTATGACATAAGTCAACCATGTTCACTCCTAGTTGAGAAGAGCCGTAATTAATTAATCAATATATATAGTAGTATGTTCGAATTTCCCATGGGTTTTGCACTCTCCTTGGGCCACTACAGGCACTGGCAATCAATTTTTGCCAGTCAATGTGCATGGCCGTGCAACGCTCGAAATTTCTCTGGCCGATCAAACGGCCGAACATCCGTGCAGTAGTTTCTGGTGACGACCAGTGATTTGTCAAATTGGATGTGAGTCGACATGAGAATGGCAACCCCTACCGCGAGAAATACAAAATAGTTTAAATGCGCCACCTTTTTTGGGTATTTTTTTTGCTTCATGGTTTGTTTTTTTGTTCCCCCCAAGTAAAACTCCACTTGAATTGCATTCCTTTCAGACACGTTGTTTCAAACATGACCCCAAGCAAACGCACAAAGGGGGTAATCCAGAAACATGGGACACCTGAATAGAATGCACGACGTTCCCCAGTTGCAAAGGAAAGTCATTTGAATTAAGATTCAAATACAGTAGATTCCCACACAGCTCTCCATGAATACATTTCTCAATTACCTAGAGAGCCCTACCTGACTACATGCTGGGAGTCCCAGGGTGGAACACTTCAAACATATTTGAGAGACCACTAAGTTTGGGAGGGGACGGTTTGGAAGTTGGATGTCAACATTCATTTGCTACTATTTCAGATTACTTCAGGTTACAGCATGTTACTGCATCCTGATTTAGAAAACAAAAACACACATTGCAGAAATTTGAGTCTGAAATGGTGAGCAGCGATGACGGATTTTCATCACCAGAAAACTCAGACATTGTCGTCTCTTTCCTGGATCGTTTGATCATTCGGAGAGCATAGGGGAAAAAAGAGCCATTTTGCGCCCATGCTGGACGAGAGATAGGAAAGGAATTGGTTTTGGACGGATTGATTTGGTGCAAAGAAAGCTGACATGATGGTGTGTTTGTACATGCGTCGACGCGGTAAGAAACGCATTTCTTGGAGAAGAAAAAACCATTAAAAAAACCATGTGTTGTCCTTGTCCCATTGTTATTATATGTTATTATTGATATCAAACCAAAAGCGTTGTCCATGGCCCACATCATCCCAAGTGGTGACAGGTTCTTGGAACCTCACAGATCAAGATGCAGTGGATGAGTTGGTTCATCTCTTCGAATTGGATGAGAGGTTCGGTGGTGATTGTCAACATTTCTGAGACCAACCCATGTGATGTGGTAAAACCCGATAAGATGCTATCTCCAAATGAGATTATTACTGGGTATCTATGCCCCTTTTTTTGGATAATTTTTCTTGTCATCCTCAGATGGTTGGTTAATGGGATGGTTTATAGTTTATAAGTATTGGGTCTACCACATGTCGACCTTTTTGGATCCTCGTTTGGAACCTCCATTGATTACAGCCTGCCAGTGGTTTAACCCTGTAGTTGCTGCGGAGGGTATATTCGCCTCGCCGTGTCCAGTGCGGAAAGATCCTATATGAAAACAAAAACGGTAAGTCTTGATGACAGCTTCCGTGTTAGGAACGGGAAATGAGGGTTTATACAGTCTATACTTCCGTTTTGGATGTCAAAGGGTTTACCATGGTTTACCAACACTGAGACATGGGTGTGTTTTCCGGCGAGAGCTCTTTTCTGCAACAAGTGGTGAGCGTTTTGATCTTGGACAGGGGCTTCAACATGCGTCATGCGTGCTCTGAGCCCCAGACGTTACCCTTTGGTAATTTAACATAGCTATGGAAAATCACCATGATTAATGGGAAAATCCACTATAAATGGTCATTTTCAATAGCTATGTTAAATTACCAGAGGGTAATTCCCGCTCTCAGCCAGGCCCATCCGTCCTTCCATGTGCGACTCTCAGGGAACAACTCGATGGTGCCTGGACTAGTTGGGATTTTTTATTAGTGTAGCAACCTTCAAAAAGATGCCGACCACGTGTTTCTAGGATGAAAGATGATGAAAGTTTGCATATCTGTGCTTGATATTTCGGGATTTCCAACTGTTCTACCTATTTTTGGGGTTGCTGTAGATGGCTATTTTAACCGTTTTTTTTTCATGACTTACAATGATTGGATCCAGGAGACAATGGGTGATTATTCATGTTCTAGGAATACATAGGAATACATAGCTCAACTACATCCTCACATTTATTTTGTGTGCAGGGATCATCAGAGTAGGCCTTGGGAAATGGTTTCACTTCCTACACCTGGATCCGGAAGTTGCTGCAGATTCCATGCAGCATGGGGCTGAGGGTCAGGGCAGGTACATTTAGGAAAGTGGAATATCCCGGACTAAAGCCCTAAAATGGTGGAAAAATGAAAAAACATGTTGCTTACATACTCATCAGGTTTGTTCGTATATTGCCAGGTTATTGTTCTTGAACCTCTCCATATGTTCTGCACGTGACTTTGTTTCATTGTCCAATTTGGGTGGCTTTACGAACCCAAGGTGCCTGTATGGCTAACTCCCTGTTCCAACTAGGATCCACCATATGGTAAGAATGCTGTGGATGGTTGCGAAATCCTGCACCAGTTGGCAGATGATTTATCCCATTATAATCCTATGATCTACAGTATTTACTGTACAGTGTTTCATAGCTACCATTCGTTACCAACTGGTGCAAGATTTCGCAACCATCCACAGTAGGTTTTGACCCGTCCGTATGTCAGTTTCCAGATCCTCTGCAGGTGGGGCGATCGCGAATCGCGTCGCACTGTGGCCTCGCGCATGTCGTGGGGTCGCCCAGGAGTGATGACATGGACATGTTGTTATTTGTTTTTGCGATCCTGCAACACTTTAGGCAATGGTAATGGACACTTCTCATTGTTGTTGTTGTTGTTGTTGTTGTTCGTTATTTGCCCAGAAATGCCCAGACAATCATGTAGAAGGAATAGGTAAACTCGTAAACCTGCTAGGTCAGTGGGGGATTGTTGCAGCATGTTGCAGCTTTGGATGAAGATATCCAGAATGCGGCCCAAGGTCATGGACTTTTTTGTGGACTGATGATCAAACTTTGAAATCTCAATGATGTCACTTGACACCGTCACAGAAATCGCTGTGGATACATCGTGGTACATCATCACGGTGGCGACGTCCACCAGCTGTCGGCGCTTGCCTTACAGCTGGATAGTGCCGGACACTTGGAAAAGCCCTAACCCATAGGATCCATGTATGCTATATATGGTAACATTTACCATCAATATACCCCCAATGTTACCATATATACCATACATGGATCCTATGGGTAATAAGATCATGGTTCATGAATCCATGGCTGACATGCCCCCGACTGCCCCCCATCCCCCATTTTGTTCATACAGCTATATACAGCCATACATGTACCGTAGACTCCGTAGACCCTAGATGACCCTAGTGTCCATAATTC